ACCACGGGGTCACCACCGCTCTTCTATGTAAGGTGACGTCGTTTCTTGTGCAAGTTGTTGCGTGATAGGAACAATCCGTTATCCGAGCACAGTTCAGTTAGACGATTTCCGTTGTTGGTCCGGTCGGTTGGGTTTGCATGTGAATCGCTTAGGTATCTCTTTGATTATTCCAGGGATCCTAACTCAGCATGGAATTCTACGGCGACTACTCTGGTGTCCGTTGACCGAGCACTTTAGGGCAAATAAAAAAGATCCTTGTAGAACGCATTTCTCGAGAACTGCAATCGGTCAGCGCATACACGGATACAGCAAATAAGCGCCGGTGCTTCGTTCCGTAGGTGTTGACTCGTACCGAAAGAGAGAGACACAGCGCAGAGTCGGTTACCAACAGGAATCAAGTCAAGAAGCGAGTGCTCAGAGTTGGCACTTAGCGCAATTACGACGTCAGTAACACCGCTGGATTCAGATGCTAAATGGTCTGATACACGCAGAGTTAAGCTTGAGGATGAGGTTGGGTCAGGAGAATGCAGGGTGATACCTGAAGTAGGATCTTGTGTGCGTTTTTCGGGACAATGCTTTCTTCTAAATTGAAAGTTTCAGCTAAGGTGGATTGTCCATCGATCTGATAATGGACGGACACTGAATGCGGTCAAGTGAAAAGGAGACTTTGTTTTCATCAATTCTGCCTTTAACTTTCTTGTCGTTCTTCTACTGTTCATCCAAACGGGCGACCAAAAGACAGCAACCAAAACCGCCGCATGAAAGTGCATTATCACTGGTTATGCAAACTGAACTGAACGGATCTGATTGGTTAACCTTACTGGTTAAATGCTCAGTGGCATCCCATGGGTGGTAGAAATGAGGCATCTGATATTATTCGGGACGGAAAGAAAGAATTAAACAGATGGGAAAGAGGTTAATCTAAATGCGTACTTGAAACTTTAGGGCACATTGCCGTATCCCACCCACACTGGCGAACGTTTATTTTGCTTTGGGAATCCTGACCGATTTTTTCATTTCAAAAACCCAACTGGCAAAGCCGATCGAATTTATGGATTTTTCTTGAGGAACCCAAGCCGGAGCTTTCGATTGACATACGGTAGCGAGGTGCGAGTGAAAAGCGGGTGCATGACCAAAGCATACGTATGGAGGTTTCGAGAAGCTTTCGGATTTGTTTTCTGTGCGTCAATTAATGACCCGCTGTTCCTGATTGGCCGTTAGCCCCATACAAATGGGACAGGCGGAAGATGGGCGAAACAGAACTTTATTGGCTTGGGCCTGTTTCTCTTGGGTAAGTGGCAGCTTTCGAATGAAGCCCGAAGACTTTTACTATCGTCCGGAGTAAGCCCCAGACATCCGGCTCGTACGTCCCTCTAGCGGGGTTTCGATCGGTAAACTGCTTCTCCCAGTGTTTATTTGCTAGAGTGACCTCTCCAAGAGCAAGACTGGATAGTCAAAGGAAGCCTGGAGGTGCCAAATCAGCTGCCCTTTTGAGACTGAGATTTGTCTGAACCCTACTCATTGACCTTTCGTTCATGATTGGATCTGTGGCTGTGAAAATCCGGCCAATATAGCTCTCAGGGTCACGGAGGCAAGCAAGCCATCATACCACACCAAGGTGCAGTCCCGTCCTGATAGTCATCTTCTGTTAAGCACCTAGTGCAATAACTGTTAGCCGCGACTTGCTTTTCACGTCTAGCTGAAGGTCAAAAGAGACAATTCATGACGGGGAAGTAAGAGGGGGGGATGGATTGTCTTGTGAGTTGTGATCACGCTTCGCCCCTTGAAAAAGCTTTGCCAGATGAACAACAACGGAACCGTGGACGAATTTTCAACTCTGCAATATGTTCCCGACCTAGCGAATCATGTAATTTATATATGAACATAATCAATGTCAACGAAACATGGTTGTTATAAAATAGAAAAAATATTAAATTGCCAAGTTAATTTCGGTCTACAGTCGATTTCCATATTTACTCTCAAATCAATTTCTAAAGAAGCTAGTTTACATGTCTACTGATTACTGCTTAATGCTCAACGAAAACAATTATGACTTGATATTTCACATTAGAAAAGGATGCACACGATATATGATCAAATGATCACAGTGCAACACCGCTTCCCTAACATGGAATAAAATTTTGTGTACTGAATGCAACGACGAACAAAATGTTACGAGTTTTCAAATAATCGACCGCACCGCTAGGTTTAAAAATTAGAAGAAAAGCACAAACCTGAGTATAATGGGTATTGCTTGTCGTTTAAGTTGTCCCACAAATAAGTAGGAGCTAGGACGTGTAAAGGACTGGCACCGACTCCGGCCAGAACCATGGCCACACAGAATATGGACAACGACAGGGAATGAATGGGGTCCGTCTGCACAATTTTATCTGTAGTTCCAGTGTGAACAGATGAATTGATCGCCAAAGGTGTAGTTGGAACCACCGCTGAAAGTGAATTAGATCTGTTTACCATAATAGACAGAATCGAAGAGGAAGGTACGGTAGAAAGGTCTGGATTGTATGGTCCGACCAGAAAGTGCGGCAGCGCGAATAAGCCAAACCCAAGCGCCAGCAACAACGTAGACAGACCGACGATGCGTAATCGGTTATGCCTTTGTCCGTTGACAAAACTAATGGCCACAGTGGTCAGTACACCGGAACCCTCATAACAACTGATCATATATCCCACTTGTCTGGTACTGAAATTGAAGCGACGTTCCAGTGTGGTTAACATGCTACTGATTAGTCCAGATACAACCATAGTCTGTATAAACATGATGAAAAAAAGACCGAGTAGAACAGAGATTGGGTTCGCACATAACTGCAAACAGGGTAACAAGCAACGTTCCTCCGGAGGAGTCGGACCAACCTTGAGGGAAACTTTAGACGCGGCGCCTTCCTCTTCTTCCTCCATTTCTGTGATTTTTTCCTTCAATGTATCATCTAACATACTATCCGGCTCCTCCAAACCATTCCA